AAATGACTATTTCCTAAATCAAAGTAGACATCCTGGATTATCTTGGGGTTGTAATATATTCCTGTAGTCATTTATGGTCTTCACCGCATTTGTCACTGACATTCTCCCATTTTACAGACAGAAACTAAGAAATAAGGGGCTAGACCAAGACCACGTTGCTAGTAGGTTGTATATTTCAAATCCTCTCCATTCTGGAAGGACCAACTCGGATGCCTCTTCTGCGAAGTCTTTTCTTAGTGTCCCCTAGTTTCTACTTGTGATATTTACCATATTCTGATTTGTAATATTATGTTCACATATATGAACTTCACTATATGAACATATGTGAAATTCTTAAGAGGTAAGACAGTTCCACATTTGTGTGTATCTCCCCACCAGTGAGAATTCTTCCTCCCGGGTGCTAACCTGGGGCATGTTCCCACACCAGCTGGCGGTGTCTTCTTTTCTTCTCGGCTGTGGCTTTGAGGTCTGCAGAGGCGCATTGTGGGTACTGTTGCTCATTCGAGCTCGTTGCCTTGTTTTTAACATACAGATTTTTAATAAGAGCTTTGCAAATGTTTACAAGATGTTTTAAAAATTAGGTAGTATTTGAATCTTGTCCTTCCTTCATTTCCCTGATGATTGCACTTAGCACTTTCCTGGGCACATAGTAAGTGCTTGGTAATGTTTCTTAGGTTAATAAGCATTTATATATTCACCTACTCCAGTTTACACTTTGCTTCTCCCATTGTCATCTATGACTATCTTTTTATATGTTTATGTCTTGCATTCCCAACTAAACTGTAAGCTCCAGAGGGCACAATGATGTCTTTTATTTGTGCATATGCTTCCTTAGAACATCTTCCATGCAGTATAGTCTCAATAAATCTTTGCTGATTGCTTTTATTTATTTTTATTTATTATTTTTTGAGACAGAGTCTTGCTTTGTTGCCCAGGCTAGAGTGAGTGCTGTGGCGTCAGCCTAGCTCACAGCATCCTCAAACTCCTGGGCTCAAGTGATCCTACTGCCTCAGCCTCCCAAGTAGCTGGGACTACAGGCATGCACCACCATGCCTGGCTAATTTTTTCTCTATATATTAGTTGGCCAATTAGTTTCTTTCTATTTATAGTAGACATGGGGTCTCGCTCTTGCTCAGGCTGGTTTCAAACTTCTGACCCCGAGCAATCCGCCTGCCTCGGCCTCCCAGAGTGCTAGGATTACAGGCGTGAGCCACTGCGCCAGGCCTGCTGATTGCTTTTAAATGGCCATTGTGTGATAGCATACCAGCCAACAAAGCATGGTAGAGTCTAAACTGTCCAATGTGAGTGGTTTTATTTAAAATACATGTTTTGTATATGCATTTTAAATAGACATAGACATCCTAAAAACATGCATTTTCAACAAAGATCACTGAAGTAGGAGGGAACACCCGGTCCACATTGAAGGAGACGAGAATAGTGCAGATGTAGAGAGGCATTTGGGCACCACTGGCTGAGCTGTACGTGAAGAGGGGTCTCCAACAGGTGGTCATTGGCTGCATTTCTCTGTTGCATCGGAATGTCTTTTGTTTCCTCTCAGAGCACATTTCTTCATTTTCTTGTTGGCTGTGGATTCTTTTCAGGTGTTAAGTGTTTGATATTTTTAAGGGTTAAGGTTGTTACTCTCACATACAGAGGACTCTTCAATAATGGAAAGCCTAATCACTAAGCTGCCAGAATATACTTTTTGAAAATTGCTAACTCTGGTACCTGGTCAGAGTAAGAAGATAAAAGAGTTTACTAAGCAGTCCAACCATCCTATTGACTGAATGCACCATTTTTTTCGTGGTCTTGATGTCAGACAGGTGTCTTTAATATGCTTTTGTCTACCCCTGAGAATGTTCCAGTTACCACGCTGAAATGTTTAAGTACCTACATTTTTTTTATTAGAACTATAATATAATTGGTTTGTTAATTAGGAGGACGCTGGAGAGTTGGCTATGAGAAACTCTGACTTTGATAAGCGGTCATTTAAAGTAAGGGCAGTTGCTCCACATTTAAGGTTCTCTGTGTTCTCAAATTTAAAATGTATGGCTTGAGCTGAAAGATTCTGCACGCTTCCATGTATTTATCCCCGCATCCAACATTTTATATTAAATGCACTCAAGATACTGTACAATGGGTATAAACCATTTTACATGTTGCAGGGAAGTATGCACAAGGGATAATTTATTTTTTAAATTTGCTGTCTATTATTAGACTTCTAATTACTCAGGCTGAATGGAAGCAGAATGGTCTCATTCTTATTAATAACTGCCAATTATTTAGCCAGAGATGACATGCAGAAGGAGTTCATTTAGATAGTTTAGACTTAAAAAGCAACATTTTTCTCCAAGGTGTTCTAAACACACTTGTTTTTGTTTTGTTTTGTTTATAACTCCAATTCTTCACATTTTAATTATTCTAACAAAATCTGTGGTTTAACAAATACCTAGAAATGATTGGTCTAATTGCCTTCCTTTGTGCCCACAAGACTCTCTCTGAAGTCAGGCTTCACTGTGGTTATAAAAGGATTCTCTACAGCAGATTTATGTTCCGTAGAATATTTGGATTAATATTGTTAAGCATTTCTGGAGAACTTAACATTCAATTACTTTTCATTTCTTGTCATCTCCCCCTAGAGAAAGTGCACAATCCTATTTCCCTAAGGAGGTAAACTTGCTTGAAAAGTAAAATTTTCATTAAAATATCTAATTTGGCTTTCTTAAAAAATATAAACCTTTTCTTTGTTACATTTTAAATGGTCTTAAGGATATAGAGTTCCAAAATAACTAATTTGTACACTAATAATATGTCATTCTCTTTTATTAATCTGAAAATCATACTGCCCTCAAGAGACTTTAGTTTGATTTGTTTTGATGCCAGTGTAGAGAATTTTATTTCTTACCAAAGAAGTTTCTTCTCTGTGGTTGGAAGGAAGTGCAAAGCCAGGACTAGTGTGGGATGCATGGGACCTTGCATAGGTTTGCAGAGGGCTAGGAGAATCCATTTCCCATAGAGTGAAGCTTCATGCTGAAGCATTGGTAGAGTTCTTTTTGTGCCGGGTTCTATGCTTAGTGCTTTAGCTGCATTATTTCATTTATTCCTCATAATCCTATGGGATAGTATCCCCATTTCTATTTCTGTGAAAATTGGAAATCTAAATATGGATGAGGAGTGATTTTTAACGAAAACGCCCCATTCCTAGACTATGCCAACTGCAGGTTTGCTCAGAAGCATAGAGTTGATGGGTAGGATGCCAGGATTAAATGCGGTCTCTTTCTTTTCTCACTGACTTGCAGTTTGAAATAGGCAGGAGAGTACAGGAAGTACCTTTAATGCATCCAACCATACTGTTTAACACAACCTGATTTTTAAAAACATGTTATATTTTTGATAGTAGTCTTCTTGTAGTAACTGGCTGGGCTGTAACGTGGTTCATACCCGCTCTACTTGATTTCTTCATTACTAATTTCTTAACACCAAAGCACTGCTTTTGTCCAAACCATTTAGAGGCCTCCAGTTTTAAAAATAAAAGGTGCAGAAGATTGGGGATGGTATTTCCCCTCTTGTCCTGTGATAGCCAACACCTGAGAAATCTTATAATGTCCACAGCTGAGATCATAGATGTGCCTTTCAAAAGCATCACAGAAAAACAGAAGGGTTAACCACTGAAGGCAAGAGTTTGAGATATTAATATGCTTGACTTGAAAGTTATATTAAGAAAAATGTCAGATGATGTGAAAGGAAAATTGTTCCACGAGGGAAATACTACTGCTGAAACTCCAAGTGGAAGAGGTTTTTAATATTCCCTTAGTTCCACATGCATTTAGTTCTAGTAGTGAAGTGGGTCATTTACGAGGGGAGGTGGCCTAGGCTAAAAATAAAGTTTCCTTGAAACCAGATGAGAGTCTGCCATGCCAAAAATGGAATCCTGACTCTGCTCACTCTCTAGAATGTAAATAAGCAGAATTTTGTGTCACACAAAATGGTCTGTGCAAAACAGGACGTTCACCACTTTTTATGGTAGAGAGAGGCTAAAACAATCATCAGACCATATCTGTTCTGTAGAACACGAAGCAGCAGTTCAAAATAATGTGGAAGTCTAACATATTTTGATTTCAAAAGACCTCCATGACAAAGAAAGTGCAGAACAACAGGTATTGCATGATTTCATTTATGTACACGTGTGAATATGTACAGTTGTAGGTATATACATGCATTAAAATAGAACTGGGGGAAAGATACACATGAAAATGTTTGGGAAAGGGAATGAAAGTTGGGGAGAAAAGGGGGATTTTTGTGGATTTTACTGTATATGTTTCTGTCTTTAAATAATTTTCATACACACACACACACACACACACACACACTAAAGAAAACTATATAAACAGGGAAAGCAAAGCTTGAAGATCTCAGCGAAGCTGTACACTGGTTAAGAGCGTAGGCTCTGGAGTAGAAACTGCCAGGGTGTGAATCCCAGCTCCTTTACTTACTGTCATCCCTCCACAAGTTAACTTTTGTACCTCAGTTTCCTCAAATGAAAAAACAGGGACAAGGGTAGGTACTTTGTTATACAGTTGTTACAAGATTTTATAAATAAATAATCCATGAGAGAGCATATAGACCAGCAAACATTCAGTTTATATTAGTTATTATAAATTATAATTCTTAGACCACATCTAGCTATACTTGATTCTTTGTGCAAACTTTTCAGCTAAAAATGTTACTAGTGACAGTGTTACTCATCACAATGTATTTTCTCAAAGTTTGCATTGTAGTTGTTAACAGTTCTGCCCTATTTTTTCCCCCACTGGTGCTCAGAACTTCAAAAGGAAGAATAAAAACAAGTGGAATTATCTTGTTTTATGTGGAATGCTATACTTTCCATCTGTGGAATGCTCCTGAATTGGTGTCTTTGACCACTTAGTCTGATGTGCACATTATTAACACTATAGAAATGTAAATATAAATATGTTCTGAGGTTTTTCTTTGTTCCTTAGGAAGACTATGACCGTCTGAGGCCTTTATCTTACCCAATGACCGACGTCTTCCTTATATGCTTCTCTGTGGTCAATCCAGCCTCATTTCAAAATGTCAAAGAGGAGTGGGTACCAGAACTTAAGGAATATGCACCAAATGTACCCTTTTTATTAATAGGAACTCAGGTATGTCTGGTTTGATTTTCCCCATTTAAGAATAAACTCTGGTGTGTTGTGGGGGTGCTCTCAGAAAAATGGTCCCAAGGTTTAGCAAATGCTGCATGTGTTTAATCAATCTCAGCTGCAAGTTAGTAAGTTTTATCTATTTTTGGAAAAAATAGTGTCAAAAGAAAGCAATTATATTACTAGTTTTTAAAAATTAAGTTCTTTTGTTTAATCTTTTTTTGTATGTGGGAATTAAATGGGATTACATGTTTTATCTTTAAAGACTTGTAATATTATGGGACATTATTGACCTTTCTTAATTAGATTGATCTCCGAGATGACCCCAAAACTTTAGCAAGACTGAATGATATGAAAGAAAAACCTATATGTGTGGAACAAGGACAGAAACTAGCAAAAGAGGTAATGGAACATTAACAGAATTTAAAACTAAATGTAGAAGAAGCTAAGGTCATTGAAACTAACATTTATTGTGCATTTTCTGTATGCCAGGCACTGTGCTGAGTACTTTTTATGCATTAGCTCACTTAATCCTTACTGACTTGGTAGGTACGTCTGTTTCCCCCGTTATACAGAAGAGACAACAGAGGCTTGGAGATGTCAGGTAACTTTCCCAAGGTCCCGCAGGCAATAAATGGCAAAGATGGTTTTCATTCCAAAGCCTGACTCCAGGGCCCTGGCTCTTACACCTGTGCTTCACTGCCAACAGTATTTTTCAAAAGAGTCACATATAGAAAGAGGCATCAGAAGCAGGTGCTGATATTTTCAGCCTTTCTTAGTTAAACATTCATACTATGCCAAATCAGGCTCTGTCTTCTGTTAAGAGTCATTGAGTTAGGTAGTGGAGCAACATAGGATGACAGTTTAAATTTGTGGTTAAAACCAAACAATTATGGTTAGGTTTGAAAAGAAATGTGTTGAAATTTCCTCCAATCTTTTTTGAAAAGAGGGTAGAAAATATTAGCATTTTAAAAATGTGTAATAGTGATGCACATCATACATTTTAACATATATTCTTCCTCACCCCAAAGCTAGGTTTACTTTTTTCTCCATTTGGCCCTAATGTTATTAGATTCTATTTTTTAAATGTTGTGACTTTAATAGGACTTTGTAGAAACAGAATCTAATAAGGACTTTTAAAATGTACTATCAGGAGGCTAAACAAAGCAAGAAAACTTTCTGGAGGACACTTTTTCCTAAAGCAAAAGATAAATGGCTTCACTAACAAGTCACGTTAGAAATTCCATATATTCAATTTTGTAATCTTGGGGAGAGAAGGAACTTCTAAGTATCATAAAGGTAAAAGTCATAAATGAAAACATTGATGATTTAACTACATAAAAAATACTACATCAAATGCCGGAAATAAAGTAAAAATTTGACATGTATGGTAGGAAGATGAGTTAACATCCTTAATATACAGGAACTCCTTGTGTATGAATTAATCAGAAGAAGACATACATATCCCAATAGAAAATTGGTCTAAGAACATCAATGGAGAATTCACCCCAAAAAAATGCAGATTGCTGTTTAAGAGGAAGAAGTATGTTCAAACTTATTAGTAGTCAAATGTAAGTTGAATTTCCACCAATAAAACTGGCAAAAAAATGAGAAATTAATTATAATACCTGATGTTCCAAGGGTGCAGGGAAATGGGCACTCTGTTGTACTATTGGTCATGGAATCAAAGTAATCTTGACAATATGCAAAAGCCTTAAAAGCATGGACACTTGATCAGGCAATTCCATATGTAGGAATTTATCTTAGGCAAATTATTAGGAAGTTGGTCCAAGGGTACAAAGTTTCAGGTAGACAGGAAGAATAAGTTTTTTGTGATACATTGCACAACATGGTGACTATAGTTAATAATAGTGGATTGCATATTTCAACATTGCTAAGAGAGTAAATTTCAAGTGTTCTTACCACAAATGATAAGTATCTGAAGTGATGGATGTTAATTAGCTTGAGTTAATCATTCCACATTGTGTATATATATATAAAACATCACTTTGTACCCCATAAATACTTACACATTATAATTTGTCAATTTATAATAAAAAATTATTAGAGATGCGCTTAGCTACAAAGATGCTACATTGTTTATAATGGCAAAATAATCCTGTATCTATTAAAAATTCATACTAAAATATCTATTGAGATGTTAATATCTACTATGTAGTTTGAGAAAAAGAGTAATTGCAAAACAATACGATCTCATTTCTAGACCTATCAGCAGCATTTGGCACAGTTAGTTCTTCTTGAACCAACTCTCTCCTCCATCTCTTCATCTCCCTGGTCTCTGAATGTTGAAGGTCCCAGGAATCAGCACTCAGCTTCCTGGATCTCTTTTCTTCTATATCCACACCCACTGCCTAGACCTAGATGAGCTGCTTTCAGTCTTATGGTTTGAACAGTCTACAAGTGAAGATTCCCAGATTTCTGTCTCCAGCCTGGACCACTTTATTCCCTAAACTCTAGACTTGGTTACCCAATTGTTGACTCAACAAGTCCATCTGGGTGGCCAAGCATCTCAAAATTAACATGTTCAAAATAGAATTCCTAATTTTACCCTCTAACCCGGTTCTCCCTTTCTCTCACACCATACACTCAACCCTTCAGCAAAACATATTGCTCTACCTTCAGAACACATCGAGTCCAGACACTTCTTTCTCATGTCTCCTCCTTCCGCCTGGTTCAGGCCTCCTCCATCTCTGACCTGGATTACTGGAACAACTTCCAACTCTCCTTTCTGCTTGTCTGTGCCCCATGATAATCTGTTCTCAACACAGCAGCCAGCATAAGTCTAACAGTGTCAGCCCAGTCAGGTCCGTGTTCTGCTCAGAATCCTCCAATGGGGTCCCCAGCTCACGCAGAGTAAAGGCTGAAGTCCATATCAGGGCTTCACTTGTATACTCCAGACACATTGGCCTTCAATGACACTTTGCCATTCCCCCAAAGTTCTACCTCAGGACCTTTGTATTATACTTTTGCTGCTCCCTCTGCCTGGAATGTTCTTCCCTGTGTGAATGTTATTCACTCTTTCACTCTTTTCCGGTCTCAGCTCAAATATCACTTTCTCAATGTGATACTGTTCCTTGAAAGCTCCACGCATGCTTCTGCATCAGGCTCTTTGCATCTGTCGCCCCACCTGCCTGGAGCTCTTCCCCTAGATATTCCTCAGTGCTCAAACTTCTCCACTGGGAAGCCTTCCCTGACCACCACCGCTGTCCTCAGCACTCTGCGGCTCCCTCACTCTGTTTTTCCGCATAGCATTTGCCACTGTCTGCTCTATATTCCCTTCTCGTGTGCTTCTGCCCCAGTGTAACCTAAGCAACTCTAAGTGCCACACAGCAGGGATGTGGCTCTTCTGTTCAGTGCATTTATGTACTCTCAGCACCTAAACAGTGCTTGACGTATAGTAGATACTCAATAAACATTTGATGAATAAAAGAATTTTTCATGGAAAGTCTAGGAGGACATCACTAGTATTTTAATAATTGGCTATCTCTGGGGAATATGAATATGGATGATGACTTTATTCTTTTTTGCATAGCTGTATTTCATAATTTTCCTTATAATGATGTGTTTGTATCATACCAATTATATAAAAAAGAATTTATATTTGTGGTTTTTTTTCCTCCCTCCCAGATAGGAGCATGCTGCTATGTGGAATGTTCAGCTTTAACCCAGAAGGGATTGAAGACTGTTTTTGATGAGGCTATCATAGCCATTTTAACTCCAAAGAAACACACAGTAAAAAAAAGAATAGGATCAAGATGTATAAACTGTTGTTTGATCACGTGAGAAACATCTTCAGTGGCCAAGGAAACTGTCCATTTCTCTCAGAAAGCAGATGAAATGCTATAGCTATACCCAGACCTCTTATACATAATGAAGCAGTTTAAAACTTGAAAGAAAAAAAAGAAACCTGTCCTCAGAATTCTGTAAAGTTCATTAAGAATGTTTCTTAAAGGTCTAAGAAGCAGTAAACAGCATCTGAAGCCACAATCTATTATAAATACTTTATTTCAACTAGAAGGTACAATCTCTCAGGGGTTTCATAGTTTAAAAAGCTACAATCACATCATATTACTACATAAAAAACAGTGCTGTAAATGGAGCTGCTTGCCTTTGACCACATACATTTCTGCACCGCCCATATGGAATCTGCACAAAGAAGTATCTTCTCCCTTTGCTCCAACTAATTGCTCTTGTACGTAAGTTGCTTTCTCTTCCAGTATATCCAGAGTGGTGAAGTAACAAGGCCAGCCACGTAGCCAAAGGTTGCTCCAAGCGTACAGGAGATGGGCCATACCTGAGGAGAGAATGTATGAGATCAAAAAAGAACAAATGTTTTATTATTACTTGAGCACAAGTGTAACCTAAATATTTCTATATTAAAGCTTAATGTGCTTTCTTAAAGAATGCCAAAAGTGTAATAAGGTCATAACTGCATTTATCATGAACACTAAAAAATGTACACATTTTAGTTAATGTGCATTAAACTGTAACAAGGCTTCTGGCAATTGTAGATTTAGTTTGATGCTCCCCAATCTGCATGAGATACATGCTAAAATTACAAATTAAAATTTTGGGTCAGATTTTGCCATAATCCTGGGTTCAGTTTAGCTCTCTGAACTAGCTGGTATTTTTTTAAGTCCCACATTGGCTGTGTATATCAAATGAAATTAGAAGTGTGTATGCTGACCAAACCACAAGAAACTTTCTTAAATTGTGTTAAAGAGAAAAGACCTAGAATCTAAGCATGTCATATGGAATTTATAACAGAGCAGCTGCTTCCACTTTTCAGACATAAATGTTGGAACTATAGCAGAAGTTCTAAAACTACAACTTATGTATACACCTAGAGTGTAGGTTAAACAAAATACTGGCTTCAGATAGCAATTTTATCCAGCCATATTACATGTCAAAATTGTACATCAAACAAGACGTAATGTTGATTTATTTCATCCACAAGCAGTGTGTGTTGGTCCCAAGCTTTAAGGCTCAGCTTAAAAAAAAAGTTGGAGACAAATTTTAACATTCATCTGTGAAGCTTATCTGGTATACTGGAGCCATTTCTAATCTTTCTCTGGGGGGAATAGGCCAAAGAACTGTGTTAGAGGTGAACCATCTTAATTACTAGTTCTATTACCTAATTCAGCTTCTTTGTTTGGTCTTCTGTGGATCTGCCATATTCCAAATGCCAAGCAACAGACAATAGTGTTAGAGCTTCAGTATGAACAACCTAACACAAATGAGAGAAACATAATCTAATCCATATTTTTTTCTAGTCTTTCCTATGTTTAAACTTGCTGTTGCCTAAATTATGATTTCTTTATGTCTTTGGTGGGCCTCTGTTAATTTCCATGACTTTAGCTTATAACTATGTCTACTGCACAGACTGGGTAATGGAACACTAAACTTTTATACTTGAAAATGACAGCCTTAAATGCTCATATCAGTCACAAATCTAGGATGTACTGTCTTGTTCTATGTAAGCTTTGTAGAGATTTTTAGAAAATATAAGCATCATCTTCCCCATTGAAGAGTAGAGAGAAGTTTTCTCTCTGAATTGGACATTGGATATCTTTATCCCAAGAAATGGTGGTTCACATTAAGTATCATGGCCTTATGTATGCTCAAATAGAATCTTATGTAATTTATTTAATTTCGGTCTGTTATTTTTAGTAGAATTGAAAGGAATTGTATAAATCAATTAAACATATGCGCTAAGTTGTCCAACACATGGTAAAAAAGGAATTAAGACAGTAAAGTATTATACATTTCCAACTTGACTATGGGGATTTGATGGGTTGTTTTGTTTTTTTTTCAAATTCACATCTCTGAAACCCTTTACATTTGGTTTACTAGCCAATGAAAGTTAAAATCTAGAATTTGTCCTGCCCTAAGAGAAATGAACTAGGTAGGAATCTGGAAACATAAACTGGTGTCACCTCTGTTTTCTTGACTGGGCCTCAGTTTCCTCATCTTATGATAAATATGGGAGGCAGGACAGATGATCTCCAGTGTCTCTCCCATTTATCAACTCTTATGATTTTCTCTTATTCACAATAATCATTTTGGACATTACCTTTTCAGCTTCACATTCTAAAGATGGTAAAAATCATGTACATAGATTACAAGAACTCTAAGCAAGATGATTGTCTTATCTGAACCTGAGGTGCCTTAGGTACTCTACTGACCTTGATGGGGTTTGGAGTTTCCTATTGCTTATTAAGAACGTTTTAATTGCTTTGGATCTTTAGTATTTCTTTTTGCAAAAATCCTTCCTACCACTTTAACTAAAAACCAAAGATTTATTTTCTATTCATAAGCAGATTATAGAAAAACTGCCTTATTTTCAGAAATGTGTCTTCATTAAATGCTTAGGTTTCTATAGAAATTCAGACTTATCCCTGGAATGACTATTTCAAACTAATGAAATATCTAGAAAATAAAATGCTTCAAAAATATTTTATTGACATGAATTTTGCTAGTGAAATACAAATACATTGCTTCAAATAATGTCATGTATGAATGAACTTAAAAGAAATTTGTAGTTAATCAGTTTTTGCATATGGAGAATTAGTTCTAAAGTTCTTAAAAATAAGTTTAGGGGCTCCCTGAAATCTTACTTAATACTTCACTAACTTACAACCATATTCTATCTCTACAGGTACATTTTAGGTTAGTCCATATTGAATTATCATATTTCCAATAAGTAGAGCTTGAATTAATGTATTTTGTTATTAGTTACTTTAGATGCTGTTTCATTTGATTTTTAATTATTAATTTAAAATACCAAGTTAAATATTGGTTTATTGGTTGTTGCTTTTTAAGTGATTGTTACCTTAACAGCGTCCCTTCTTAACATATGGGGTTACAAATAAAATAATACGCATAGTTTACTATCTATGTAAAGCATTGAACTTTTTACCTTAGTAGCTTTTATTTAACATCCTATGTAAACATTTGAGATAATATTCTTTCCTCTGTTTTCTCATGCTGTGAGTCTATTCATCACTGGCAGAGTGTGAGTACCTACACTTCATTAAGAAGCTCACTGTCAAAGTACAGGGAGAATAGTAATCCCTCATGAGTCCCAGCCAAATTCCAGTTTGGGTTACTAAACTGTATTTTAATCACTTTGTAATTTCAGTATAGGTCTTTGTTTTCAAACACATTCACACATTGTTTAAACTGCCATATTTCACCTTCAAGAGAATGCCAAAAATGAAATGTTGGTTAAAACATTTTTGTCTAATGAGGGGTTAAATCTTGGAACACTTGCTATTCAATGTTGTATAAATCTCAAGAAATCCATGGCATCAGCAAATTAAATTATTGGAATGGCTTAGAAGACTGTTTGCTATAATGGATCAGGCTTTGTACTTTTCTGAAATAAGCATTACTTATTGTAACACAGTTATTTTTTTTTAAAGAGAATTTCTTTATCCAAGGGCAATTTTCATGATTTTTGAATACCAAGATGGGGAATGACAAAAGGAACAGTTGAAGGGAGTTGAGGGAGGTTGCCCACTAATATCTACTCCTCAAGCAATGTCCTACTAAGTTTCTTATAATTGCTTTAAATTGTAAAGACTACACCATGATGAAAGAATTCATATTGAATTGTCTTAATCATGTATTTTCATAATTAGATCCTAAGGTTTTCCATTTAAAACTATTTCTTGCACATATAGAAATGTTTCTATTTAACATTCTTCATGCTACAAATAGGATTTTTTTTTTAAAAATGGTATCATCTATTAAACAGACAATTTGCCTACATTACTATAAACATTTCTCCAAATTATGGTGATCTGAGATGGCTATATATAATTATCTGGTTTTGTTTGAGGAAAATAGAAAACTTAGACATTCATATAAAGACATACAAAGACATTCATATAAAGGAAGTCATTCACAAGTGTTTGCCACCAAAATGACAATCTTTTTATCCATTTTTAAATAAATTTAAATGTTTTTTAAAAAAATCACTAAATAAGAAAACAACCTGTGTTGCATATAAAAATATAATATAACTCAAGTGGGTACAATTGTTAAGATTACCACTAAAAAAAAACCTCTTTTAAAATATGAGTGGTTACATCATGTGAAAAAATGTATCCTGCTTAAAGCACTATAGTTGTTCTTTTTCTAAGTCAAATGACACCTTTTTATGTATTTTCTTCATCACTTAAACTGAAAAAGGCCAGTGTTTTCTTAAAATAATCAACATTAACAAAGGCCCAATATTACACAGCATGGGGTCTGGGTATATGGTACCAAGAATAAGTTATTTTTCTCTTAGAAATAAAACAGTTTCACCTTAATAAGCTAAATTTGTAATACAAATTATATAATGCAAATTTATAATACAAAATACAGATGTAAACTTTATGTTTTCTCTGTTATATAAATCAATATTACTGCTGGTTGAAAGACATTTCAAAATTACATAAGCTTATTTCCAACTGCAGACCATACTGCTCTCTTCTGATTTTGTTTTGTTTCTGATCAGGCATTGCTATAGAACTCTCTGCTTATGTTTTAGGAAAGAAAAATGTACTAACATTTCTATGTAGCATTTGATATTTTTCAAAGCATGTTTTAAGTAGTACAGAATAGTGATTAAGAACACCACTTTTGGTATAAAACAGAGTGGATTTGAGTGTTGGCTCTGCCATTTACTAAATAGGTGACTGTGGGCAAGTCATTTAACCTTTCTGTGCCTTGGTTTCCTCATCTGCAAAATGAGGATTGTCATAAAAATCATCTGGAGATTGCAATGATTAAATGAGATAATGCACTATGCGGTACTTAGAACCATACCTGTAACAGTATCTGGCACATGGTACAACTGACCAGTACATGTTAACTTTAGTGATAATAATCCTTTATATTCATAATAGGCACATATGAAATAAGTTGCCATTACAATCTAGACCAGCATCATTCCCCAAATACAAAACCTCTAAAACGGCTCCTAATAAAAAAAAAAACTACCCAAATTTTCTAAAAGTACTTTCCTAAAAGTACTTTCAAAACATTTTTTAAAAGTACATCTAACAGAATTCATGTTTCCTTATCAAACGTGATCTTCACATACATATGTTTGTGTGGGTGTGTCTATATGTATATATGCACATATATTTTCAGGGGTTCACAGACCTCTGAAGCCTATCTGTGGACTTATGGTTAAGAATCCCTGCGGTATGCATCATTCTACTGTAACAAGTATTTTTTTTAACAGTGACTCTTTACTTTTGGTTTCTGAATTTGAAGGATCAATTTCAATGATGCAGATGGCATTTGGTTGTAATTACATGATTTGAGCAATTTAAATACAGTTTATTTGATTATATTATGCACATTATTATGTTCCTTTCATATATAGTAAGTATAAACAGATTTTTAAACTTGTAATATCATTAAAATTATACCCACAAGTTTTTGATATTCTACATAACAGCTATTTTGGTATATCACTACTGATTCTGGCAGTTTATAAGCTGCTGCAGGTTTCCTATAATGATGGTCATTTACTTAGAATTAGATGATGTGCAACAAAAATCTTAAAAATAATTATACTAAGATACTAAACTATTTTCTAAAATATGTCATATTTTATTTGGGAGCTTTACTTTGCTTTTCTTGGAAGCAGCAAGGACAGTGGAGTGAGAATGATCTGAGTTTTAGGGCCAATTCAGCCGCTTTACTGGCCATATGACCTTAGCCAGGTCACTTAATATCTGAGCCTCAATTTCCCAATCTATAAAACAGGGACAATAGTACCTACTGTACTTAAAATGTGGGACTGTTGTTTAAATGAAGTAATATTTTTAAATTTGTCATGAAAGCTGTAAAGTACCATGTTGCAGTATTATTCTGTATGTTACATATTTTAACTTGAAAAAATTAAATTTATGTGAACACTAATTATTTCTTAGGTCACTGACACTGCTAAATAAGTAGAACCAGCAGTTTAGAATGAATAGTTCATGAGTAGTGTTATACTGTGTGGTGGAAACCATTCCCTTACCCTTGGAATGCAATCATCTTTAATACATGCTTATTCTTCACATGAAATGTCTGGGGAGTATAAAGCTTGCAAGAGAAAACTCTCAATAGCTACACAACATACTGGTATTACATTAACCATTTGTGGCCTCCCCTCAGAAACAGAAGAGTGATTCTCTACTCCTGTCATTTTTCATAAATTCTAAGAAGCAAAATAAGTATAGATATTGGTTTTTAAACCACACTGGGCACGGTGGCTCATGCCTGTAATCCTAGCACTCTGAGAGGTCAAAGTGGGAGAATTGCTTGAGCTTAGGAGTTGGAAGTTGCAGTGAGCTATGACGACGCCACTGTACTCTACCCAGGGCAACAGAGTAAAGAATCTGTCTCAAAAAAAAAAAAAAAAAAATCACTGGTAGACATTTGTGTTAATTTTTAAAATCTCATATAAATGACTCCATTCATTCATTCAAAACTATTTATTGTCAAAATCATAAGAAATTTCTGGGGAAAAAAACTCAAACTACTTACTGAGCCCCTACTATAAACCAAGCAGTTAAGGTATAAACTAAGATTAAATTATTTAATTCTGGACATATTCTAGCATATTTTAGTATAAAATTAAAAAATGTGTTCCAATATAATTTTTAAAATTACTTATAATTTTGGAGGGCTTCAGAAAACATGGAAAAATGGACCTATCTCCAGATCAGAACACCTAGAAACATTTAGAACAACTCACAACCATTGGGATTACTGGCTTTCTTTTCAGATAACAACGAAGATCAAACCCAGGCAGCTAGTTCTAAATCTCTCATGAGTACTTTTCAATGTTTGTTTCGTTGATTGTGTTTACCACAAATTTGCATTTTTGCATGACTGACAGAATTCATCCTTCAAAGCCTGCTGATCTATTGGTTTTAAATGATCACTTATATTCTCTGAATTTGGTCTTAAGCAATGTGTTTTTCCAGATATTCCTAAAGAAAATACTACTATTTAATGGAGAAATACATGCACAGACAAATCTACTCATCTGGATATATTCCTTTGCTTATAAATCTGCACTTATCTGTGTATGATCTGACCACTCCCCTATGACTAAGAATACTAATTTAGGAAGAGTTATTTGTGGAACTGTAGTCTCTGGTTTGGAATTCTTGTCCAAGTGCCACTAACTGGTGCTGGCCACAATTCATGCAAATGAGTTAACTTGGCCAGCATTACTCTCTCTCACATGCAAGTCTGCTAGCAGAGCATTATCAATGTGATTATCCTACAATAAACATACCTTACAAATCCAAAATCATTTTTATCAGTTAAATGTTAAACATTTTTCCTATGCTTGAATCTTATAAATCATAATACATATTAATATTTTATTTTGGTCTAAAACAGAGTATAATCCCTTTGGTAACAAATACCAATTAACCTAAAAACATGTAACTCTTTAATCAATCGAATCCATAAGCTTAGTTTTATCCCTCCTTCCGGCATTTTGCAATAATTCATTTAGTTATAATCTTATGATCTCTAGTTTTAATTTATGAAAGCATTATTTATGACATCTATGACTTTAGAAAATGAATATATATTTCACAAATATTAAATTTTTAACCTGGTAAAACTGAAGAAAACAAAAAAGGATTTTTAAATACAACAATGCCTCATCTATTTGCTGAGGGGGAGTATAAATATTTTTAAACAATTTTCAGTTGTTTCAAAGATAATCTTAAGTGTCTAAAAATCAAAAATTTCAAATTCAGTTTAAAATAATTTATAATATCAATTTTTCTTTTTACCTTTA